CCGGTCAGGCCTAGCCACCTGGTGACGGTTCGGCCAGATTTGATGATTTTTCGATTTTGACGATTTTTCTTAGGATTTGTTTGTTCCTGAGCATCCCAACTAATCTGATACTGTGGTTATTCAGTTCTCAACTAAAGATAAAGAGGAATCCCTCGTTCTTATCCAAATACCCACTCCCGAAGCTTATAAATAGGAGCTCGGGTGCTCATTTCTCCAGGTTGGACATCAAGAGGGCGAAACGCTGCCGAATTGGAGAGTGGAACCAAGAATTTACAGCAAGGGTTAGCAGATCTTGGTGATCTCCTGTGCATAAAGAGTGGAGTTCGAGAGATCTAAGACATGTCCCCTATTCCTCCGGATTTAAGCTTGGTCTTAAATCTCGAGAAGAGCCGTGATCTCGCTTGGTCGAGATCATCGCTACAGCGATTACTTTCTTCATGAAGTAAGAGCTTTGATTCCATAATCTGTCAATCGGATCTGAACCGCGGCGGTCCACGGATACTAACGTCCCCGGCACAGGCAAAGATCCCACACAAGCAGCGGGTGATAAACGTTCGTTGCGCTGTTTGACAATAGTCGTATCTTTTGTATTTTCATTGTATAAGGAGATCTTATAAAAAGATTAACTTTTTATTTGAGTTTATTGTAAACGATTAAAGTTGTAATAGATTCAATCACAATGAAAACAACGATTTTCGACCCAAACAAGTTACATTGCAAATACAGTCACACACTATGAAATGCTAGCCTAGCAAATTTAAGTCTCCATTCATTGCCTAAACTAATATATGACTAATTTATTACTTATTTTCTTAATCTTTTTGTACATCTAGTCTATATGAAAAACAAACAATCATAGTTTTATAGAACTGTAAATAAATTTGAAAATTTCTTTTTCAAGCTAGTCCATGCAGTTTCAGCACCAAAAATAATAAGGACGACCCTAATTACTGAATCGCGAGCTTGGAACGATAGCTCCATTTGATAGCCCAAAATATGTAGGATGGGAGGAAAGTTCGGCCCAGGACTATGATAAGACTTTAGTGGTGGCTTTGGGCTGAGCCCAACAAACAACATTTTCAACAGGTAGAGTTGTTTTTTAAAGGATGCTATATATTTCAGGGGAGATTGAATTAAAAAAAATAGAATGAATGCAGCAAAATGGAAAGAGCTTTTAGTGTTGACTCTCATTTCTAGCGTTGACTTTCACAAGTCTTTTTTTTTATTTACTTATTTTTCATTCTTTTGCGTCGAGAAATTATGGTTAGTTTCCTTTCAAAAAAAAAAAAAAAAAAAAAAAAAAAAAAAAAAAAAAAAAAAAATTTTAAAAAAAAAAAAAAAAAAAAGAAAAAAGAAAAGAAAAGAAAAGAAATTATGGTTAGTTCAATCAAGTATCACAAGTCTTTTCTTCCTCTTCTTATAATAACTTTTTTTTACACGGTAATTGCTTATGTACCGCTTTGTCATATATAACACAGTACAAATCCGATAACATCACGAGGAGACAATATCGCCAAGTAGTAGGATCACAGGGACCCTTATTACACCGCAAACCAATTATTCAATCTACATAGAACCTAAGCTAAATAAACCAAAGTAAATATGAATCTAGTCCATTTATTCTGCATTAATCATCGGACATTTTTCAGGGGCATTTGGGTCTTTTGCCGTGGGTCCTGAGTCTAGCATAGCAAGGGCAAGAGTTCTTATTGCCGTAAGTCCCTGCAGGAACACAGTGGCACCTCAAACAGCACGTGCCACATGCACGGTGGCAAACGTTCTTCCTCGATGATTTCCTGCATCTCCTCGCGCACGCAAAGCTGCAATCTGCAGTATATATATATATGCGAGGAAATTTAAGACAACGAAGAAATAAAAGAAAATTTATGAAGTACAGATTTGTCTTGGTTACTCGATCATTCACGTAAAAGATTAGATTTTAACATGTCAATTGAATTAACTGAGAAATTAACGTATACGCGTGACATCAAGATATCCATTTAATTATTATATGAATTAAATGTTTACTTATTTTCAAAATACAAATCAAATTAGACCGGATATCACGGATAAAACATAAAAGGGTGAATTTTACAAAACCCCCTAGAAGTTGACTCCACTTTGAGATAACCCCTAAAAAGTGGAAATGTTAAGTTCACATAACGGTTAAAACTTTTGCATTTTTCTGAATCTATTTCCTGATAACCCCCAACCTTTTGGAATTGACTAAAGAGTTTGGGGCTAATTAAGTGACGGTTCCAAACTTTTTTGCTATACTTCAAAATGAGCCAAACTTCTTGGGGTTTTTTTGAGAAATTTTCTAGAAATAAACTGTGCTAACATTTCAGGTTGCTTATTCATATAATATTAAGGTATGCAACTTCCATTACCGTCTCATTTTGCAGCATTTCCAACTGAGCCTAACATGTTCTATAGCAATCTAGTATTGATTTAATCTCATATTTGCATGAATTTTTCTGGACAAACACTTTCACCTTAGTTTCCTTTTTTCCAAAGGGAAGCTCTATAATCCTTATCAAGATGCAACATTACTCTGAAGAAAAGTTAATAGTAATGTGGATGTATTACTGAAAATTTTTGGCCTTTGCATTGGTTCATAGGACAGAAATTTCTTAGAATGCGTCATTCTCATTCTGATACATAATAACCAATTATCAGTAATTGCTAGTAATTTGTATAATCAGACTTGCACAATGAGCATTGTGATATGAACTCAAACATACAGAAGACCAGCACCCTATGTATAATCAGCTTGAAATAACGTCTCTATTTATCTTCAAATGCATTATAATTAAAAAATAATCCCAAAAAAAATATCACACATACTTATCTTGGGACGGCGATGGTGCATTTTGTCTGCAGTCACCACTTTATCATCCTGTAAAATCAAGACCGATCGTTAAGAATTTGGATCTCACGTTCAATCTCAAAATCAATATTATCATACTTACAGTTAGGAAATAAATTCCATAAATGAGAGTGAAGATTTTCCAATCTAGTAATATAATTTTTTCCTGGTTAAGTCAAAATAGCACTAGAATTATGTGCAAAAAGAAGTTGCTCACATCTTGGACTTCCATGCCATGATCCAAAGATGCTTCTGCAAACACCTACATTTGATGCAATGAAAATGTACTCATTAGCGAGGGGGGAAAAACAGCTCTATAAGAAATTTTGCAACAACTTATTGGGTTAAAAAACAGAGAGAGACAGAGACAGAGATGAGTTTAAAAATGATACATGGAACAAGAGGAAGACAACAGCGAAACAAAGAAACAGCTTCAGGGTGCTACCGGCCATTTTCATATGATAGCAAGAGACCAAGTGATGAAGGAAGAGGTAAAGGGTCACCTTTTATAGGTAAAATTTCCCCTCAATTTCTCCTTTTCCCCTCCCCCTTTTTTCGTATCCATCTTTACCGTGAATCATCACGATCTTCTCATGATAGAACAGGGACTAATTAAACTGAAGTTTTAACCCCAACAATCTACGTCGTAAGTTCCATTGACTGAACTCAGTATGACATGGTAAAGATAGAGATCCTTGTCATAATAAATGTAATTTAGGCTATTACTATCCAAGTAGCTAACTTTTGAAACCTTTCCATCTCAAGAAGTCACATGCAAGGAGGCTTTTTAATGGTGCTGTGGCTTTATTAGCTCATCAACAACCTGGCAATCTTTGAAGATCGCCTTTATTCAACCGTGCACAAGCGGGTGTGAAGCAAAGGTGTTTGTGGTTCTTTGCTTAGGACATAGGGTAAGTTAAAGACATGGGCATATGCATGTACGGGCCATGTGAGTTAGTGAAGGAGATTACAGTGGATGTCATTGTCCTTCGTTGATTGGCATTACTCTGGATTTAGCATTATGTGAGTAGCATGCAACTCTGTTTGTAAATGAAACAGATAAAAGGGAGGATGTATTTCTGTAGTTCTTCTCATTTCATTGGGCATGTTATGCTTCATATATTACTAAAAGGAAGCATTAACACCTCCATACTGTCTCTAAAGCTGATGGTCATGTAGAATTTACTAAAACGAGTAGAAGTCCATTGCTTGGTAGATAAGGCAAGGACAAGGTTTTTGACAATACTTCTTTTAAGCAACAAGTTTTGGCATTTTACATTTAACCCCGGAAATATTTGACAAGTTTTGGCATTTTACATGTTAAACTTCTTTTAACCAATAAGTTTAGGAAATCCATTAAAAAAGTATGAAAAATATTAAAAAAAAAAGATGATCTGAAAGGGGTTTCTTAAAAGTAGGGGTATTTTGGTCCTTCGGACATAATTTGCATGTGACACGTCAAAACTAGCAGTGTTCCTTTTGGGAATTTCTTGACAAAACTCATTGAGGGTTACGTGAAAAACACCCTTGCGTTCACCTCCCTCCAAAATCTGTTGTGTTCATCTCCCTCCAAAATCTCCCAAATAATAGTGAAATTTATGCGAAAACACCTTTGCATTCATCTCCCTCCAAAATCTCCCAAATAATAGTAATAACCAGCCTATCCCCATACACTTGTGATCCATCCTTATCCTTTCCAAGACCCTAAATGGCTTTCTTCCACTGCCATGCTCTTTTTTGCATCCTCAAATGACCTTACTTTCTTCGACTGAAAGATAAAAATAGCATATGGTTGATTCAGGGTCAATATATTTTGCTAATTGTGTGTATTTTATAAATTTTTGGATAGGTGCCTGCAAAAAGAAAGAAGCTAACTTGATCAAGGAGGCTATGATAACCCACAAAATCTATGATCCAATGGGGAATGAAGGTGGAGAAGATAATGCTACGTCGGCAATGTTATGCGCCGTGCGGAAGCTTGCTCGACAACCAAACAAGTTGGCGTACGATGAGAGAAGAAAAGCAAAACCAAAACACGAGTGCAATTCACCAAAATACAGCACAAATCAAACCAAACACAGAGATATACGTGGTTCGACAATTGCCTACGTCCACGAGGAGAGGATGGAGAGATTTTACTATATGGAGGAGAAATACAACGGGTTACAACTCACACAATCTCTCAAATATAACCCTAACTAAACATCTCAACTCTCTCTCAATATCTTCCTCTCTATGTGCTCAAAACAATGCTAATTTTCTCCTTACGAAACCCTAAAAACGTGTTTGTATTTATATCAAACACCTAATCCAAAACCAACCAGGAAAACAAAACAGGCTCATAACCGCTTGTCGGTTGACCGCACACATGTGACCGGTCGACTGGCCAGAGAGCTGAAAAATCAACCCTGTAGCGTGCATGTAGGTGTGAATTTCTGATCTCCCAAAACAGGGATTTCGTTTGTATTGATAAGAATAGCTTATTACAAACTAATGAATCAAAAATTACAACAGAAGCGGAGGGAATACCCTCCTTGTTTAACGTGGGGACTTTCGTTAGCTATAGGACGCTTCGCTCGGTTCTCGCACCGAGTCTGCTTCCCTTGGACGATTCGACCGAGGTTGTTGGCGCGCTTCAGTACACAGTAGAAGCACGGATCGATGGAGTTCGAGTCTCCGAGTTTGACGACAGAAACTGGGAGAGGAGGCTGCAGTGCAAATGTTATGCAAAGAGCTTGTCGTCAACTCTTTTGAGAGTCGAGAGCCAGTAGTTCAGTTAACTGATTGAATCAATCAATTAGCTATGAGCGAACTGTGAAGCCATGAGAGGTTCTTAAATAGAGGAGAGACGGCGTGGCCGCTCCTTGAATCATAGGATATGACCATGTCTTGGGTTTGTACTGTGAGCAGTTGCTTGATGGGTTCGGAGTATTGTACTCCTTCCCTTCACATCGCGAGGAGTGGGATGGCCCCTCCTTGTACGTGGGATAGCGGCTGTCTAGCACTCGAGTGGGTTTAGCCAGCTTGCCGTTTGTAGGCAGATTCAGCTCTTGACTCGTGCAGGCGAGGGAGAGCTTCCTGCAGGCGGATCTGGCGAGTGACCGGTCACTCGTACTATGAACGGTTACTTGATGGGTTTGGAGTACTGTTCTCCATCCCTTCACGTCGTACGGGAAGTGGGAAGGCCCATCCCTGTACGCCGCGTAGCGGCTGACGAGTACTCAAATGAGTCCAGTCAGCTTGCCATTTACAGGCGAATTCAGCTCTTAACTCATGCAGGTGAGGCGAGCTTCTACCTTGAGCGTGCAGGCGGATTTGATGACTGCATGGATTTGACTGGTTGCGGCTACTTGGTGGGCTTGGAGTACTGTTCTCCATCACTTCACGTCGTGAGGAGTGGGATGGCCCCTCCTTGTACGTGGGGTAGTGGCTCTCAGGTACACTGTTTGTAGGCGAGTTTGGCTATCGGCTCGTGCGGGCGAGTCGATCATACAAGCGGATTCGTGATAAATAAATGCGAGCGAATTTGGGTTTGCGCTGGTGAGTCCAGCCCATGGGTTAGCCCCCGTCCTCAAGATCGGTGGACGACCCCAACTCGCAGGCCAATTTCTCGTATGCCTGCAAAGGTAATTTTTACCGTCTACAAGACCCCCTTCAAAGTTTTCAGTCCTAAACCGGCTTGTGTGTGGTCTGGAATACTTTGAATAAAGAAGTTCCTGGCGAAGCAAGTGTATTTGGTTCCTTTTAGGATTTTTAGCAAACCCTCAGCTATCAACGGGTGCGAAGCAAGTGTATTTGGTTCCTTTTAGGATTTTTAGCAAACCCTCAGCTATCAACGGGTTTGATTTGCCTTTACCGATTACCGTTTGAATAGGATTTTTAGCAAACCCTCAGCTATCAACGGGTTTGATTTGCCTTTACCGATTACCGTTTGAATCGGGTTAGCCATACTATTCCCCTCAGTATGATGAGTTATCGAGTACCTTCTCTTAGGCTTAATGCTAAGAATTCTGCTCTAACCCTTAGCCGTTCGAGGTGTGGGTTTGAGTGAGGCCATTCCGTTGGTGGTTCAAAACTCTGGACGAGTCGGATCGTTCAGGCGAAATTCATTTTCTTAGGCGGAATTTGAATTTGGGCGGTTCGAGCCAGGTTTTTTTTGTAGACGAAACCTTTCCTTTAGGCGGAGTTCGATTTCGCAGGAGATGAACCACGTGTTCCCCGATGAAGCTTCGTGCTTTCCAGCTAAGGCGGCGTGGGCTCGTCAGATCGCATCAACTGTGATTTTGACAGTATGACGTCAGCTCCGTGCGCCTCGCTCGACAACAAATCATGGCCGTGGTTTTCGAATTCAGCCGTCAGATCCGGTTCGGGTCTTGGGTTTTGACCGGCCCGTTTCATGTTTTGACGGTTCCTTCGTAACCGCAAAAAGAGAATGAACTATGGAGAGTAATCTAGGCCGTCGATTTCGATCGTGGCCATGTCTCTTAGCCGCTAGTGTTTCGCCTCTTGAGGGCGATCGTGGCCACGTTAGCATCTCCGCCTTTAAATAGGCTTTGTTCTCCTCCTTTTGAGAGCTACTGTGCTCAAAAATTTCGTTTCGTGAAAGTTTTCTAAAGAGAAAGAATTCCCGCTTCGTCCCCAACTCTTAGTCATGGAGCCGAAATCTAAGAAATGCGTTGCAAAGGGAGGAGGTCCTGGATGCTATTCTGATCGCCTCGCTGCCGGTATGATTGCCAGCATGCCTGAGACGCATTTGGGTAAGTCAAAAGATTCGTCTGACGACCTTGCGTCGATTGTCAACGTCGGGTCGGAAGGATGAGTATCGCTCGTCTTCCCCCATGGATTCCGCCATTTTTTTGGCAGTCCTCCAGGTTTGGGTAAAATCGGCCTTTTTCAGGCGGATTTTACTTTCATTTGCAGAGGATGACTTCTATCTTTACAGGTGAAGTTAGCCTTTATAGGGCGAAGGCGGATTCGTCTGTGACAGGCGAGTTCGACTTTTGTCTCATAAAGACAAATTCAACCTGTACAGACCGATTTCGTCTTTGTCAAGCGGGCTTTGCCTTTTTGACAGGCGGATTTACATTTGTCTGGCGACTTTGCCTGTCTTGGCTGGATTTGCCCTCCCTCTAGGGTGGATTCCGTTCTAATTCTCTGGTTCTGCCTTGCAGTGTCCTTTTCTAACGAAGCCCTTCCGAAGGGCGTGGCTATCGGTCTTGCCGGAGGTACAGGCTATATGGCGCCTCCCCGATTCCTTTTACTGGATACGGTGCCCGTGTTCGCTGCCGACAAGCCGGATGGACTGATCAAGAGAGTCACCGACGGACACCATTTGACGTTGCGTGAGTTGACCACTGACGCGGTTTTGACAGACGAGGCCAGGATAGAGCTCAAAAAGCCTCAGTTTTTGTTCGGTGACGCCGCGACCGATCCTTCAGTCTTATTGTTCAAGGAGAGCAGGTAGCTCCGCGTGGTTGACGGGGTCCATTACTACCTTCCCAGCATGCCGAGGGGGTTCTCAATTGTTGAGTTGCGGTCCTTTGCAGTTCCGAGGGTGATGAACTGGGATTTGACCCCAACTCAAGACGGGGTGACATGCGGCATCTTCACAGGCTCCACGGCCGGGTACGGGGTAGACAGCTCCTACAAACGTGTGACCGCTCGGGAAACGACTGCAGTCGCGGAGACCTTCCGTCATCGATTCTTTCAAGCTGGTGGGAGCTTTCCTCCAAAGGACTTCA